CAGGCAAAAAAACACGAACAAGTTCAGCCACCTGAGCAAGACTACAATCAATGTCAAATGGACTCGCCAAGAAAGGCAACACCTGGGCTTCACCAGTTTCCAACCTTTCAACAGAGTCATTCTAAGCAAGACTAATGACCCCACATGAAACCCTGGTGTCAGGTTCATATCCCCCAGACTTTGGGACACTGTTCCAGTGACAGCAGACAATTCACTCTGGGCGCGGTGACTCACTCACACTCAATGCCTGGAACACCAAGGTGAAGTTCCCTTTATTTACTAAGATTTAACAAAAGATTTCAAAGAAGCTCTGTAAGCAAATCCTGTTAGCACAAACTGCTATTTAAATATTTAACTTTCCAATTACACTTATTAAATACTGCAGTAATGGGGTGCCTGAGTGGCTCAATCAGTTAAATGTCGGACTTTAGCTCAAGTCACAATCCCAGGGTCCTGGGACTGAGTCCCTGCGTGGGCTCCCTGCTCTGCAGGGCGTCTGCTTCTTCCTCTCCCTCTGCCCCTCCTCCCACTCACCGCTCTCACATGCTCATTCTCTAATAAAAATCTTTAAATACATAACACATACATACATACATACATACATTGGTAATAAGTGTTTTCTATATCCACTAGAATGCAAACTTCTTTATAGCACGTTTATTCTAAGAAGCCCTTTCGTTAGTCAATTCTTTAAGTATGACTTTTTTTTTTTTTTCCAAACCTGCAAGGTGGCAAGTGCAGCTAGCTGAGCCCCTCATATAGTTTTAATTCTAAGCCTTGTTTGAATTAGAATTCTTGTGCATTGCTGGTAGGAATCTAAAATGCTGGGAGCTGCCAGAATATAGAGTGTGCCACTCTATATTAGTGAAATAGTTTGTAACCCTCTAAAGTAAGTTTCATCATTGTTCCTGTCGAAGCTGTTAAACTAAAGCTCAAAGAAACGAAATAAACTAGCACAAGGCCTCTCTGCCCTGGATTTGTAATCAATAGGCTTATCTTAACTCAAAGCCCCTATTTTCCACTACACTCTGCTTCCTCCTGTGACCCTAGCTATTGAGGAAACTGTTAGCCCCTATTATAAATGCAGTGACAGGAACAGGGGCTGAAGGTAAACATTCTGGAAAGTAGAAAACATCAAAATTTTCTTCAAATTACAATTTTTTAACTGCCAGCTTCTTTGGGGAAAGAAGTGCAAGATTATACAGGAACACACATAATAGAACACTGAAAAATAAAATCATTCAGAGCAGCCATCTGGGTGACTGACATTCAGTCTTTAAAGCTATGTTTGGGGCGCCTGGGTGGCTCAATCTGTTAAGCATCAGCCTTCGGCTCAGGTGGTGATCTCAGGGTCCTGGGACTGAGCCCCACATTGGGCTTTCTGCTCAGCAGGGAGCCTGCTTCCCCCTCTCTCTCTGCCTGCTTCTCTGTCTACTTATAACCTCTCTGCCAAATAAGTAAATAAAATATATAAGTAAATAAAGTTATGTTTGTGCTGCTCATTTTAAGTGCTTCAGGGAACAATGGGGAGAGGACAGCAAGGGTGTGTTCTGTCGGCCCCTCCCAAATGCTAACTTCTCCCACTCAGTTCTCCCAGAGCTGATTAAACTTAAGAAATATTCCCATACACCTGAAACTAATGTAACATTGTGCATCAACTACGTTTAAATTAAAAAGTTAAAAATAATTTAAAAATATTCCCAAGGGCTAGAGACTGTATGCAACCGAATACTTGCATACCTTAACTTCCTCCCTTCCAGAGCAGCAAAATCGCTTCTGTCCCAGGAGCTTTGGAAACATTTTATGATGCTATATTCAGCCACACCATGTTCTAACTGGAGGAAAAGGTCTCTGCCTCCCACTACTGTCTCAAGCCCAGGATGTCCTTCCCCAGATAGATCCTAGGGGATGGTAACAGGCCACCTGAAAAGCTGAGGCCCTGATCCTTCCCCCTAAAAGTCGGGTGCTACAAAAAAAGACAGAAGGAAGAGGTCTTTGTTTCCCACCCACTACCTCCAGCTTTCCACAGTGATCATACTGCCAGGTAAACAGGAAGCCCAGAAGAGAGAGGGGATGTTCCTATCTCATGTGATCAGCTCAGCCTCAGTCAGAAAAACTGGACCCTCCCCCTCCACCCAGCCTTTAAGAAAAAAATAGATTCCATCATTCATGCATATATTCATTCACGTATTCACCCTACAAACATTTAATGAGCATATACTATGTGCTAGGCACTGTCATATGTAAAATACCTGCCTTCCTAAAACAGACAATTCAGCATGGGGAAACAATGAACAAAATGAAGAAATATATTGTATGTTAGAAAGTGAGAGACAGTTATAGAGAAAATAAAACTGGAGATGGATACAGGAAATGTATATAGGTGTGAGTGTATGTATATTAATAGGAAGATTAATTATAATCCTCAATGAAACAAAACCTTTTATTTCTGAGGGTGGGCAATTTTTAAACATGTCAGATTAAATGCCAATGGAGATCTCATATGTTTAAGCTCCTACTAATAACAAACTCAGCATCACAATAAAAAAAAGACACTTCATTACCACTCCCTTACATTTTATTTTCAAATCCTCTCAACCCATTTCTACTTGCTTCTCTCCAAAAAAATATGCAGAATATGCATGTTAGCCCTCATTATTTTCATTAACTCTGTCTGAAGTCTTAAACCTTTACAATAAATTGCTAAATTAGAATTCTACATATTCTGAAAACCACCACCAACATGAAGCTGCCCTCTGTGTCACATAATCTTGACTTTACAACATATATAAGTGGTTGGGTTAGGACCAGCTCATTGGTGGATGTGGTAACTCTGGGTTGCTCAATCAGCATGGCTCTGGTTAGTTGCTTCCCAGCTAAAACCCTGAAGGTAAAGTATCTAGCAGCCAAAGAGATGTCACACTTCTAACATCAAGAAGAGGTTCTGAGTCCCCAAGAAATAAAGCAAAGTGTCATCTGCCTTTTTATGGTTTTTTGTTTGTTTGTTTTCTCAATCGTATTGTCTTTAACAAGAAAATGGTGCATACTCACCATAAACCCAAACCCAAAGTATATGCCAAGTAAGGCCAAAGCCACGGGTATGATGACATGAGACCTGCTTGATTTTGGAATGCGACAAGGAGGGGCGGCTGCATCATTTTGCATTCATCGCAGTAGATTCTAGACAATAAAGCCAGGCTCTCTGGAAGGGAGGTTGACCTCAGTCTCTATCAGGCATCGTATCTGAGGCTTTGGCCCGCTTGCCTGGACCTGTCTCCCTTGCTAGAAGCCGAATACCCTGGTCTTTCTCAAGGCAGCCACAAGAACACCCCACAATATCAGTGAGCAGTGGATTAATGGTAAAAAACACTTGCTGGGCAGATGTTCCACACGTTCAAACCCTGTCCTCACCCTCCACTAAAGGAGACCATTTACAGGCCAGGTACTGTGTTTAACACATCAAAAATTAAGACACACTGCCCTGGAAGGACTGGGGGGAAAAACCACATCTCTGGCCTCTTTGCCTCTGATGGGCCTCACAGGGCACCACCAACCTCCATTTCCCAAGAGCTCTGGCATGAAGTGCCACTGTGCTGCTCAGGGACTCACCAAGGCCTCTATGGCCTCCCACTTCCTCCACTAACTCCCTCCCTCAGAGCTTAGAGCAGCTCCCAGAGCAGGCCTACCTGCTGCCCAATCTGTCCCCACTACTCACCACGACAAGTCACCCCACTACTACGTCCTTCATCCAGACTCCTCAACCACCCCACCACCCTTCCATTCAGAACGCCACCTAATCATGCCCACCCCTTGACACTCAGTGAAATCCACCCTCTCATGGCATCCAACTGCCAGCTTCTCACCTTCCGAGTCCAAAGTACCGGAAGGGTAATTCCCACAGCAGTTAGTTCTATTTCAGGGACTATTGCTCACATCTCCCCATTCGACTTTACTCCAGGAGAACCTTCCCCCAGAATAAGCAAACACTGGAGTAACGAGCAGTGAGCCTAGAGACCCAAACTCAGTCTATTGGCCTCTCTCTCCAGCCTTGGTCTCATACTCATTCTCAGTATAAGCAGGGATGTAATGGGGGGAAAGAACTAAGGTCTCTTTTATTTCAGATTCCAAAATTTAGAAATTCCATATAGATTCCCTAGACACAAGTGAAAAAGGCTAATAAACTGTTCCTCCATTGACCCATTTAAACAGGTGGCCCAGCTATGCCAGCTGGCCTCAATTTTTCCAAACGCTTGATCACAGAGCTCTGGAGAGTAACTTTTAGAAAAAAATGCTTTGTTTTCTACAAATTTTACAAGCCTGAGTTTTCTCCTCCTATCATTGCTTGTTAGAAACAAATGGGGGCGGCGGGGGGGTGGAAATGACCTGCTCAATTTTGCTACTAAGATCAAAAGCTTGGGATTCGCACTGCCTCAGTTTCTCCTCCCGGTGCGCAGATGGTCTCCCGCCCGCCCCGCCCACAGACCCGACAATCCCCGCTTGCCAGGGTCTCCCGAGCAGCGCCGGGCGGTGGGCCGGCCATGCGTCCCCAGCCGAGACACCACCTGGAGACTCGGGCGCTTCCAGATGGCCGAGTCGGAGCCGGCTGGGGCGCGCCCCGCTGTCACCTGGCCCCGCACCGCGGCCTGCGCTCCTCCCCGGCGGGCCCTTGCCCCCCTAGACTCGCGCTCCAGTCGCCGTTTCTCCTTCGATTCCTGAGCCAAGTCCGGCCTCCATGCGGTCACTGGGCCAGGCAGCGAAGGCACCTGCCTCGCCCGCAAAAACGCACGAGCCCGCAAGTCCCTTTTGCTTCAACCTCGACGGGGGCTTGCAAGAGAAATGCAGACGAAAGGAAAACAAGCCCGAGGCAGGGCCGTCCCGGCCCGGCGTCTCCCACGAAATCGCCCCCTGCGCAGCACCCCGGGCTGGGGGCCGCGGGCCCGGCGGGGAGCGAGGTCCGGGGCCCGGCCCGCTGCGCCCGCCAGCCCCGGCGCGCCCCTTACCCGTGAGGCGGCCGCCCCCCTCGCCGTGCCCGCGGCGCCGCTGCAGGATGAAGTAGCAGCTGCTCTTCTGAGTCACCCAGAGCTTCAGGGCGTTCTTCAGCAGCACCTCCTCGGGCTTGAGCCACATCGCAGCGGTCCGACCGCGCCCGCGGGCCCCGGCTCACATCGCCCCGGCCGCCTGCTGCGCCGGGCCGAGCCCGCTCGGGAGGAAGCGGCAGCCGCAGAGACCGCAGCCGGCCAGCGTCCTGCGCTCCGAGAGTCCCGGGAGCGCGGCCGGCGCTGCTCGCCGCTCGCAGCCAGCGCAGTCGCGCAGGCCCCGCCCCCACCCTGGCTCCGCCCATAGACCCGCCCCGAGTCCGCCCACCGACCACCCCGACTCCTCCAAGCTCTAGTGGCGCCGCCTGGGTTTCCGAGTCCCAGCCTTTCCAGCGCACAGTTCCGGAGTGGAGGGAGGAAGTCCCATCACTGCTGCCAGGTACCCCCTCCTCTCTCCGCTGCGCTTGCGGGGAGCGCCTCGACTCTTGTCTTTCCTCCGCCGGTAGTGGGAGACAGCTCGGGACCGCAGGACTTGTCTCCCCGCCCCTCACTCTGAGAGGAGGAGGGGCAAGGGAGAAGGACATCTTGTTCTCACAGCTGCAGGTTGCCCAGCTGAGGGCATTTGTTTTGAGGGGCAGCAGGATGCACTACGGAAAACCCAGGTGTGTTTGGCATACCGTAGCATTTAACATAACTGGAACATTTTTACAGACAATCAAAAAATAGTATTAAAATTTTTAAATAATTGTTTTCCAATTTTTAAAAACGCTTGGCCCACGTCTTCCATGCTCTCATGAGGAATCCGACACAGCTGCTGAAGAGGTAGCGATGTTGCAGGACCCTGAAGCAAGGCGTCAGACCAAACTCAAACTGGATGCCCTCGTGTGTATATTAGGGGCCCCCCTGCGAGTCCCCTACCCCGCAATGAAACCAGTCGCATTTGTTCTAAGAGAACTGAAAGGCTGGGAAATACGGGGTAGGTGATATTAAAGAAAAGCTACAGGGAAGGTGGAGGTAGGATTTTAAGAATGAGTATTTCCTCAAAGCTCTTGTAGAAATAGACAAATGGTAGCCGACCTTGAACGGCCTGGTCGTCCTCCTCCTAGCTGTGTCCTTGGAAAGGCAGAGAATCCCAACACCGCGAGCAAAAGAGAAGTAAAGAAAAACACCCACCAAAACGGCGCTCGGGTTTTGACAAAGAGGTCCCTGACAAAACGTGACTTAATTAGGACAGAACCGAAAAGTTGAAGTAAATCCCCCACCCAACACATGAGAACTGAGTGACACTTCTCTCTGGCAGCCAGGGAGTCTGCAGAGGATCAGAAGGGGTCAGCTCAAAGCCTAGACCTGACCAGGTGGCTGGAAGTCCCATGAAGAACCCTGTGCAAGGGGCAAACAGAAATGCCCACCCAGGGGGGCAGGGACATCTGTGGTCAAGCACTGAAGACCACTGACAAATACCCTCTGAGTAAAACTGAGGAAAGAAGTCAGCTGTGATCAGGGGGACTTGGGTGCACTGGAGCGTATGGCCAGGGATGGCAAGAAAATATTTCTTCCAGAAACATTCACGGGAAACTCCATCTCTCAGACATGCTGCCAGGTCTTGGGATTGCAGAGACTGGGAAATGGGCCCTGCCCTGATGGACTCATAGGTAAGCAAATGAGCACAAAGCATAGTGGAAGTTATGGTGGGAACAGTGGGGATGCAGAGAATCAAGTGTCCGTTCCTCAGGGAGGGGACTGAGAAAACCCCCACAGAACAGCTCTTGCCTGACTGGGGCTTGGGAAATGAATATGTATTTGCCACCAGGTCCAGTAGAAAGGACATGTCTAGTAAATGGATCAGTATATATGATGTTGTGGTTTAGGGCACAGGGCATGCAACCTACAGAAGTCAGCCTCCTGGGCACAGAGCAAGGTGAAGAAGGTTGGAAAGGGGCCAATGGAGAGTATCTGGCATGGCGGTAACAACATCCTCCTCTTGCTCATGTCTGGGTGTTCATCACCTCTTTTTGGTGTTATGGTTTGAATTGTGTCTCCCAGATTTCTTAGGTTGAAGTCCTAATTTCTAGTACCTCAGAATGTGACTTTATTTGGAAATAGAGTCGCTGCAGATGTGATTAGTTAAGTTACAGTAAGGTCATTAGGGTGGGCCTCAATGCAAAATGACTGGTGTCCTTACAAAAGGGAAATTGAGACACAGACATGCACACAGAACACCTTGAGAATTTGGGAGTTGTGTTGGCCACAAGCCAAAGTACTACCGGAAGCCAGTAGAAAGGCCTGGAACAGATCTTTTCCTAGTGCTCTCAGAAGGAACCAACCCTACCGACACCCAGATCTCAGACTTCTAGCCTCTGGAACAGTGAGACAATTTCTGTTGTTTGAAACCACAGGGTTGGTGGTGCTTTGTTATGGCAATTCCAACAAACAAATACAGCTGGCTCCCTAAGCCTGTCCACACCTGTTCAGTAGCAAGTCTCTTGAACCATTCTGAGTTGGATTCTGTTTCCTGCCAGGACCCTGACTGCTGCCTGGAGTGGCCCCAGGGTAAGTTCCTCAATATGGAATTCTGGCTGGGTTACTCACCTATCTGTGCGTGCAGAGGGAGCAAAAGGGATATAGTCATCTGTGGCCCACAGATGCAGCAAGATACTCCAATTAGCACTGCGGTAGTGTGAGGGGCAGATGGGGGACAAGGCTTTGGGGGTTCTTGCTGTTGCACTGGATTGCAGTAATGATAACTACAAAGGCTAGAGAGCAAGATGGCTGTTTCTAACTGCTCTAGAGAGTTTGCTTACTTGTTTATTTGTTTACAGATAAGCGGAAGTATTATGTTCCCATCTCAAGGTATAGATGTGGTGAAATCAAAAGAATCCTTTATCCAGTAGAGCCATAAGACAGACAAGGGTCATCTTCGGATCTCAAATACTGTAGTTCAGGTTACAGAATTATTGGGAAGGATAAATGCTCCATCTCAGTAAGTTCTCTTGCTACAATTAGGACGCTGATAGGGAATTAGAACCATAGACTTGTGATGGGAATATTTGGTTGGATGCAGACAGTGATAATTACATGGTACAATGGAGGTGTTAGCTAAAGCTACAATGGCAATCATATTGCAGTATAAATGTATCAAATCAATACGGTAGTCTTCTCTTACCCTCGGTTTCAGTTACGTGCTGTCAGCTGCTGTCTGGGAAAAGACGATCTTCCTCTGATCTATCGACAGAAGGTCAGCGGTAGCCTGACGCTAAATACAATGCCAATGTCATTCACCTCACTCCATCTCATCACATGAGCATTTTTTAAAAGATTTTATTTATTTATTTATGTATATGAGAGTGAGGGAACATGATCAGGAGGAGGGGGAGAGGGAGAAGCAGGCTCCCCACTGAGCAGGGAGCCTGTCACGGGGCATGCTCCCAGGACCCCGAGACCATGACCCGAGCCTAAGTCAGATGCTTAACTGACTGATCTGCCCAGGTGCACCTCATCACATGAGCATTTTATCATCTTACATCATCACGAGAGAAAGAAGGGTGAGTACAGACAAAAAGATATTTTGAGAGAGACCACATTATTTACGTAACTTTTATAGCAGTATATTGTTGTAATTGTTGTATTTCATTATTATTGTAGTTAATCTCTAACTGTGCCTAATCTATACATTAACCTTCATAATAGGTACATATTTGTATAGGAAAAACAGTATGTATATAGGATTCGGTCCTGTCCATGGTTTCAGGCACCCACTGGGGGGCTTGGAACATATCCCCTGCGGATAAATGGGGACTACCATATGTTGTACCCCTTAAATTTACACAATGTTATATGTCAATTATATCTCAGTTGTAAAAAAGAAAGTTGGATGCAGAAACTTGAAAAAACAGGAGACAGAGATTAGCACAATTAGAATAGAAATTGATAAAATTATTCCAAAAAACTATCAAAAAAGTTATTAAGACAAATGTATAAGAGCGGATAAATCCAAAAGATATTGAAAAATTAATACAGTCTTTACAAAAACTGATCAATAGAAAGAAAAAAGATTCAAAATAGAGCTTCATAAATGCAAAAAAAATAGACTCCATTGCAGATTCTAGAGTTACTGAACAAACAACGCTAATATATTATTAATAATAATTTAAAAAGCTGAGTCCCCAAATCCCAAACCTCCCTTGCCAATAAAAGCAGCATTTCCCTCTATGAGGAAACTAGCATTCACTAATGTGAAGAGGTCTCAAGACTTCACCTGAGGTGTTTGCCTCCCATGTAAATGCCTGTTCTCCTCAAAACCTGCCCACATGGCACCTCACTGGCTTCAGGCCCATAACAAGAGTAAACTCCCAGCATAGCCCAGAAAGATCATTTCAAGGTCTGTTGGGGTGAGGGTGGAAATAGATTCATACAGCAAGGGAGTTAGAATATCCTGCCAATATACATGGAGAGAAAGCTGACAGTCATATGTAGGCATGGAATCTAAAGTGTTAAACCAAGGAGGATGAAACATAAGTTTGGATTCAGCAAAATGTATGAATAAGTATGTACTCACTCAGGACTCCTGATGTAATGTTATATTCAGCACCTGTGGGTGGCTCTAACGTTTGATTCCTTCGTTTATTGAACCCTGGATTTAACAATGGCCTATAGTCAATGAGGCTGAGAAGCCAAAATTTCCCTGGCATACTCTAGACTAAGAAAAAAGTCTGAAGATTCAGGAAGTAAGAATGTTTGAGTGCTTATATTTTTTCAACCAACTCAGCCACCACCCCCTGACCACACCATGCGTCTTCATTAAGACATTAAGAGATGTAGGGAATTTCTTTTTCTAGTAAAGGCAGTTGAAGACCACCCTTCTACTGCAAACAATCACAGAAGCTGGACAAAGTGTAAAAGCAAATCTCTTTCAAGTCATGAAAGAACTACTATGGCAGCACAGACATGTCTCTGGGGAGGTGAAACTGATGTACAATCAGGTTCTTCCCTTCAAAGTCTGTGCTGAATCCCAAGTTGCAGCTAGGAGACTAAGAAGCCAAGTGCACCTTCTGGAAGTTTACAGGCGCAGAGAGACAAACCTTGGAGTTAGGATCCCTGAAGTGTGACATCCCCAGAGTAGGAGAAGACAAGACTTCACAAAGAGGAACCCCACAAGCTTCTCAGTGCCTAATTAAAATAAAATCTCCCCCAACCATAATTACCTTCCAGGAGCAAAAGTGTACACTCCAGCAGTTGATAACACCAT